GACCCTGCTGGTTATTTAAAATACCGGTGGCACAGCCTTCAGAATCACAGCAATTCAAACCACCACAGCACGACAGATGAGTGGCGGTTGCGTGGTTGATGTTAAATAGGAATCTCCTTGTGCTAGGGCCCTTAAGTCTGGCTCAAAGGTGGGATTTCTGTCTTTGGATGTCAATCAAGAGGCAGAAGCGCAGCAGGCGTGACTGGGTTGTAGTGAAATGCTTTGGACTGGGCTTGTGGGTCTCTAAGTTGGTCGACCCCGCCTCTAAGCCAAGATCCAATGGTTAGGCTAGGAAGGTGCTCGACCCCGCCTCTAAACCAAGATCCAACAGTAAGGCTAGGAAGGCTCTCTCGCGTCCGGGGTAAGTAAGACAGCTTGGCCGGCCCCTGTAGTCTCTTCCTGCTAGGCAGCGTCTCCCCATCGACCTGGTCTCCAGACACCTCTCACCCCGCCGCTCCGTGGTCTGGGTTTCATTTAACACCTCCACCAGGTCTGTGTAGTTGTCGCACACCGTTTAATAAATAACTGACAAAACTCCATCATACCAAGACTGGATCAAGCTCTTCTTTAATAAACAAACAAATAACTGACAAAACCCCATCATACAAGACTCGATCAAGCTCTTCATAAACAAACAAGCAAGCAAACAAACTAGCTGACAAAACCCCATCATACCAAGACTGGATCAAAATAAAAAATGCAGGGATGGAGAATTGTGGTAAAAGGATTAGTGGTAAATAATTATGGAATAAATTTTTTACAAACTCAAAGAATATAAATGTCATAAGCTTTGCTAAAGAAAAATATGAATATAGGAAGGTGATGATAGGCTGAAAATCTGAAATATGTTAATTTCCCAATTTTTCATAGGGAGAGTTAATACTTTAATCTTAAGTTTACAATCATATCCTTTGAAATTCTAGAGGGATCTTTCATATTGGGCATGTAAGAATTATTTTACAAAGTATCACGTAGGATCATAGGATAAGCACAGGACTTCAACATCAAGGTCAGGGCTCAAAACCACCAACCACTCCTCAGAAACCATATACAGGGTTGTTATATGAGTCGAAATTGACTTGATGGCACTTCATAATAATATTAATTTCTTTAAAATAAAAACGCACAGAAAACTTTTTTTTTTTTAAAAATCAATTTTTAGAAAGATGGAATTGAAATTCTAAGTATGCCATGGGGATGGGGGTGTGTGTGATGGTAGGGTGGGGAGGGGAGGGGTAACAATTTCAGACACAATGTATATGAACAAATTTAAAAATAGAGGCAATTGGTTGAAATGTTTACTTTGACATTCTTTGAAGTTCTATATAAAACAAGGATGGGTGACGAGTAGATGGGATTTAAAAATATTATCCTTAGGAATATTATCCTACCAATCAAGTACCACTTGTTAAGTACCACTGAGTTGGTTCCGACTCATATCGACCCTGTACAGTGCTTCTGAGGAGTGAATGATGGGTTTGTACTGCTGACCTTATGGTTCAAACTGACCTTGTGGTCCAGTGCTTTATTTCAAGATGACAAGTCAAAAAAACACTTCGAACAGGAAAGTGTCACAATACTGAAATAGACACAATAAAGATATGTTCTTCCCCCACCGCAACAATTCTTCTCTTACAAATCTATCATGTTGTTGTTGTTAAGTGCTGTCGGGTCGATTCCGACCCATACAAGGTCTTTTGATACTTGTAAATCACTTGTAACTGGGCAACAGCCTAAAGATAATACAAGTAATGAAATACTGGAATAGTATAATATAAAATAATAGTTTTATTTATAAACTATAGTCAGTGACTTTAGCGTAGTGGTTATGAATCGGGCTGCAAACCTCAAGAGAAAGATGAGGCTTTCTGTTCTCGTAAAGATTTACAGCCTCAAAACCCTGTTCAGGGTCGCTATGGGTCAGTGATTTAAGAAACTATTTTTAATGTGTGTGATTACGTTGTCTCTATTCAATGACAACTTGGCAGAAACTTTTTGGACAACTTTGTACCTTTACCAATTAAAAAGCAAAAAAACAAAAAACTCAGTAAGCTGTCTTCAATCAAAATCTAACTTTCGGTAATTAAATGTGTATAACAACAGAATTGTGATCTACAGGGTTTTCAATGGCTGATATATTTTAGGAAACACATGGCCAAGCTTTTTGCATTTAAGCATCGGCCACGCAGGGACTTACTTTACCAATTTAATATGCCATATGCCAAGCCATGCCTTAAGCAATGCTTTTCTAATACCTTTTGGTTATCTTCTAATATACTCCCAAACCAAATATCCCAGCTGAAAGCATCAATCAGCATTAAGAAAATGAAAAAGTTCTACTGGAACTAAGGGAGTCCTGGTGTGGTGCTGTAGGATTAAGCACTAGACCTTAAGTTTGGTTTGAACTGAGTCGATGGTACTTACCACCACTACCAACAGATCTAAAGGAGGGCACATTCTCAAGACTCTCTGTATACCTTTGCCCAGATGCTGCCAATCCCACCCCCCCCATTAGAAAAAAGAGTTACAATCTGCAACAGGATGTCAATTTTTCTTATTCTAGTTGAAAAAGGTAAGTAGTTATCTCAACTGTGTTTTCTTATATACAGACCCAAGCTACACTCTGAGTTGTAAGGGAATGGTGGTTTTCAGATCATAGTTACCTCAAGAACTAGCTAATATGATGAACTAATCTTTGGTCTGAAAACTACTTTGGTCTAATCAGCAATGATAAAAAGGGTACTCCTCACAACATAGTTCTGTTTTAAAGAGGGTTCTGCGTTAGGGTTTCAGGCACAAAAAATGAAAATAAAAAAATTTCCTTTGTCAATGACAAGAAAATCTCACCATAGTCTTGACAATTTGCTATAATATCGCCACCTCCTTTCCAGTCCCTGACACCACCACAACAAAAAAGGTTGCTAATGCTGTATTAGGACTTGAAAACTACCTCAAGGAAAGTTAGACATTAAATGAAAAGACTATCTGTGTAGGTAAATAAGTACATTATTTTTGAAATAATAGAAAATTTTATAAAATTATGTGGTATTTAAAACATGAGGGGGCTTCCAAAAATTTTTGGAAAAATTCTATTTTCCCCACAAACGTTTAGAAGGCACCTCACAGTACTACTCAGAAAAATGCGTAACTTAACAACTGTGTAACTGTTTTAGAAGGGATAGTCACTATGAGTCAGAACCCACTCAACAGCAGTGGGTACCTCTATCAAAGTTCTGTCAGTTAAAAAAATTTAAGAGATACTAAGCAGAAGTCAAACTAATGATGAATTCATTTTTTGTCTCAAGTGTAGTCTACAGACAAACCTGCACTGGGCTCAGAATGGTGCTTATTAAAAACACTAATCCTATTAGCTCATACCAGCATTAATAGCAAAGTTCAATAAAACCGAAAACAACAAATGCTGGTGAGGGTGTGGAGAAACTGGGATCCTCCTACATTGCTGGCAAGATTGTAAAATGGTTCAACCACTCTAGAAAAACAGTGTGGCACTTCCTCAGAAATCTGGAAATAGAAGTATGTATGACCCAGTAAACCATTTAGTCTGTGTGGTATACATCCACAAGAAGATCCAGGACATGAGTACATATACCGATTTTCATCCAGCACTAATCACAATAGCAAAAAGATAGAGACAACCTAAGTGTTCAATACTGGAAGAATGATTTGGTACTTTGGTACCTACACACAATGGAATACTACGTTAACGCTGAAGAATAAAGATGAATCTGCAAAACACTTCATAACTTGGATGAACCTGAAGAACATCACAAAATGACAAATAATGTACGAGACCACTGTTGTAAAAACTGAGAAATGTTCTCTGACAGTTAGCAGGGGTGAGTGGGAGGGATAGAAGAGTAAATTACTGGCTAGAGGGTTGTTGTTAAGTGCTGTCAAGTTGGTTCCAACTCATAGGGATCCTGTAGATGGTTTATGAGGATTGGCTGTTAAGTGTGAACCGCCAACCTTGGGGTTTAAATTGACCTTATTGTCCACTGCTCATCCTACAGTGCCACACCAGCTAGAAGGTATTATTGTTGTTAAGTGCTGTCGAGTCAGTTCCGACTCACAGAGACACTGGATACAGTTTCTGAGGAGCAGCTGGTGAGTTTGAATTGCCAACCCTGCGGTTCAAACCAACCTGGCCGTCCAGCACTATTAACCCGCAGCACCACACCAGGACTCCAGACTACAGGGTAGACATATGATAACTTGTGTGATGAATGGGGAGGGTAAATATACAACAAGAAGGTTGGCAGAATGACGAAGATAGGTGGAGACACAGGGTGGTAAGCCAGGGCTAAAGGGGATAGAGGTAAATAGTAAATACACAACCTTGAAACAATAGTGTTCTTTGTGTACATACATGGATAGAGACACAGGCTGAATGGATATGGGAGTAAGAGTGGGATATAAGTATATATTTACATATCCCACAAATATTTAAGAGTTTGAAAGAGGGTATTTATAAATGGGTTAGCCACCCGGAGGAAGCGGGACAACTGTTGTTGCAGGGAATGAATTACAGTCATTCAGATGACTTGTTGAATGTAAAACTGATGATCTTATCTGTAAACCTTCAAACAAAAAAACAAAACATATTCTAGGCCCTATCCTCAGAAATTCTAATTTATTATGCTATGTATTATGTTTGGGGTAGAATATAGGAACTTTCATTTAAAAAGGATTCTGGGTGATTCATATGCACATTTATGTTTGTGGTCTATTGGATTAGCCCACTGTCTTCTCAAAGATCATACTAATGTCCTCCTAAGGATTCCATCATTTATCTCTACATGGATATATTGTTACATGCACAAATTTATACAATAAAGGATAGCGTATTTATTTAAATTATGATGCTAAAATTGATTTTATTCTTCAACACAGATAAACTGAGCAATAAAAAAGTAATATTGAAACATAATTGAAATTTAACGGACAGAGGTAGTTTTCCTATTAACAATAAACATTCTTACCATGCCATGATCAAATGTGAATACACCAACGTCACGCCCATGGTGAATATGATTCCGTCTAATAATTGGGTTGCCATGATTTTTTACCCAAATCCCAGCTAAAGCATTATTTGAAATTTCATTATCCTCATAAATTCCCTACAATATTCAGAAATGAAAATTAGTTGAGCTTTAAAACAATTTGAAAAGAAACAAGAAAAAAAAAAAATTTAAAAATACCTGTGCATGGTCTGTTATATAAAGTCCCACATTTTCACAATCACTGATATTACAGTGCTTGATGGTGGGACATGCTCCTTGACCACTAACACATACTGCAGAGCCAACTGTAAGAAAAATAATCCCTATTAAAAAACCCCTTAGGTAAAAACACAATAACTAATTTTATGATAAAATGAATAAAAATGCTAACCTGTACATGTACTTCGAATGATACAGTGATCGATAATAGGGCTACAGTTAACTGTAATCTCTAAGCAGTGGTGTGCATTGTGGTGTTGAGCAGATTTGTCATCAGGGTTAAACTGAAAAGTAGAAATTTTATTTGAAAAAGACAACCACTGCCTTAAGCATCTCAACATGTATATTTTAAATCTTAAAATTTCTTACCCTTATTGTCATATATCCAACATAAGCATCTTCAGAACCTTCCATAAAAACAAAGGTAGAATCTCTAGTGTTTTCAATTATAACTTTATCTGCTACTTTTCCAGGTGCTGTGGAGAAGATATTTTAAATCTATTTTACTTTTATCAGATAGATGAAATGAAAAATAATTTTAATTACTTATGTCAGTCAGTAAAATTATTCTGCTACAAACCAAATACATTGGAATACTTCTTCATTGCTTTTTAAGTTGTGTACTTTTTTTGGAGGGGATAGTTTTTTTTAAAAAAAAATTAGTATTAAAAAGATAAGACCAGTATCTACTTGGTGTGGTGGTGTGTGGTGGATCAGCACTGGACTGCAAAACAGAAGGTCGACAGCTCAAACCCATCAGCTGCTCCTCAGAAATCCTATACAGGGTTGCTATGAGACAGAACCAACTTGATGGCACTTAACAATGTTTCATCAGTCTTTAAAGGGATACTGTTTGTCATTATACTCAAATCCATGTATAGTAATTCTTCCAATGAGATTCAGTTAGATGCAGTATTGAAAATATCAAATGCAGTGACATTTAAAACATGGTTTTGTGGAGATGAAGTTACCACCAACAGTAGCAATGAAGAGAAAGGCATGGGGAGGGAAGGAGGGGGAGGAGTAGGGGGAGAGCAGAGAGGATAAGAAAGAGATGGCTTTATCCAATTTATTTACAATCGTAGCCTTGATTTAGAAAGTAATGAAAACCTCTAGACAAAATTTTTCTATAAACCTCCAACCCCTTTTCCTTTATGGTAGTAGTAAATATAAAAAAACAGGTAGCAAATGCAAATTTCATTAGAAAGTAATTCAAAAGCCATTTTAAACTGATCTATATACTGTATCCTTAAAAATCAGAGATAGTACAACTCTCTAAATGACTGATGAGTACTCAATAAATATCTTATTCAAGTTATTCTTAGAAATTTGACCCTAAAGATACTTCTTAAACAGTGCAAAACAAAGCATTTAAAAATTAATGTCCCTTTAAAATCACAGCAGTAAAAACGTTAACATTTTTTATTTTCACATACTAGATAAAATTCACTTATATTTCCTTTCTTTAGTGGATAATTGAATGCCAGTAGGAAGGACAAAGTACTGGCATTAAGAAATATACCAACTCTTTTAAGTTTTTATTTCCTTCACATAAAATGTGCAAGCTATTTTTACTTCTGTTCTTTCCTACTAACTGGATTTTAAGTTGCTAGCATTAAAAACAAACATGTAAATCAAGTAATAAATACCTGCACCAATCATGGTGATTGGGGATTCAATATATATCCATTCATCAGTATATATTCCAGAATGAACAAAGATAAGTCCATCAAAATGAGCTTCTTGAACCCCACCAAGGGCATCTTCAATGGTATCATAATACTAGAGGGAAAAAAATTATGTCAGTACAGGACTGAGAGATTACCATTTTAAGTCTTGTAAGAATACAAATTAAACATACCAACATATTTTCTCTTCCTTTGTATCTTGCAGGGTTACTGTAGAAATGCTCAGCAAATCCTGGCTTTACATGTGCACCTTTATACTAAAATGTCAAAACAAAAAAAAACTATTGAATACTAATAAAAACAGTATTTTCTAAAGTTATAGTAACTTGTAATAACTTTTATTAAAAAACAAACAAACAATGATTCCAATGAAATTTCTGTTGTATAGTACAGTGCACTCTGGAATAGGTTATATGACTTAGTAAAATCCAGTAAGAAATGTCAGGGTTTCTTAACTTTAGCACCACTAAACATTTGGAATACATGATTCTTTGCTGTGGAGGCTGGCTGTCCTGTGCTTTGCAGGATATTACCAGCAAACCCATTCTCACTCAGTAGATACCAGGAGTGCCCTCCCCTCTAGTTGGAATAACAAAAAAATGTCTTCAGACATTGTTAATTGTCCCCTAGGAGGCGAAATCACTCCCAATTAAAAACTACTACCAAAGGAACATATGAAAATTATACTAAATGTCAAATTTAAAAATACTGAAAAATTATTAACTTAAAGTTCAAACAGACCAACATAAGATATAATAGCTCTCTAGACTGACTACCACTGGATACATCATTACATGTCAAATACAGGCAGTCCCCAAGTTATAAATGGGATCCATTCCTGTCTTTAAAAATTTATAGGTCAGGTGGAGCTGGTGAATATGGTTCTTATTTTTTGTTGTTGTTAAGCGCCACTGAGCCAGTTCCTGAGGAGCAACTGGTGGGTCTGAACTGGTGACCTTCCTGCTATCAGTTCAGTGCTCTTCCTACAGTGCATACCAGGATTCCTTGTTTCTTATTTTTGGTTGTGAAGTGCCGTTGAGTCGGTTCCGACCCATAGCGACCCTGTACAGGGTT